GCCCCCTCCCAGCTTCTCGCTGGCAGGGCATGGGAAGCTGAAAAGTCCTTGACTAGTGTAAGCACTGCTGAGCAACAACTAAAACATCGGTGTGTTATCAACATTATTCTTGTACTAAATCCAAAACACAGCACTGTACCAGCTACTAGGAAGGAGATTAACTCTATCCCTGCTGAAACCAGGACAGATACTAAATAATTACTTTTTTTGTTTGTTTGTGGGGGTTTTTGTTTTGGTTTTTCTTTTAAGTTTCTAATGGCTTTTTCAGTGCAGACAATGTATTTCTGTGTCTGGTGGATCTGTCTTTCCTGGAAAATGAATTTTCAAACAATCATTAATATTTTCCTTATCTGCAAGTTCACAAATGGTGTTTTCTACCCTTGTCAAGACAGGGTCATCATGTCAGTGTAATGTGCATGCATGCCAAATAAGAGTTCTTACTTACTGGAGGACCAGGTGGACCAGGTAACCCACTGTCACCCTTTTGACCAGCAGGACCCTATAAAGCAATGAAAGAAATGCAGTGTTGACCATGCTACACAATGTTAAAAAATAGCACACACAAAAGTTAAGTAAAAGAACAAAAAATATGGAGGAGAATTACTCACGCTGGATCCTTTGGAACCTTTTGGACCTTGGGGACCCTACGGGCAAGAACATATAACTATAGTTGGAGTATATTCCACACAGCACGAGAGTGTTTTGAACAGGAAGACTGGATGAAATTACTTACAGGTAAACCAGGAGGACCAGGGGGTCCGAGTGGACCAGCAGGACCAGAAATTCCCTAAGAAAGAATAAAAGAGTAAGTACAGAACAAATGTATTCTACATACTGGACCGGATTAAAAAATGCATATCTATGAAAAAGGCAGTCCTACTAAGCATCCAACCCTGATGATTTTTGATTTAGGCCATTCGCTAGGGTCCAAAATAGTTTGTAAGTTTAAAACATTATCTGACAGTTTGAGTTGCTTGTAGTTCTTACGCTGCAGTACTTACAGTCACGACTGTGTTTCCCTTCAGATTGGCTTGGAAACCTGACCTTTTACACAGTGCCTTACAAGATGGCTTAATAGCTAGGAGAAAGGAAGCTACTTTGGGTAGTGCAGTTAATAAACATGATGAGATTGGTGCTGCTAGTTTTATCTCGTCCCTAACTTAGGTGTATGTGTTTCCTTCATCTTCTGAAACACTCTATGATTTCGTTTTAAGGTGTTTAACTTCACTGTGTTTGTACAATGCCTAGGAAAGTTTTAACCGCTGGCAGGAGGCTCTGGGTGTTACATGTTTAGAGCAACTTTATGTCTCTTGAAAGAAAGACTGGAATATGTACTCTTTGCTTGCACGAAACTTGAGTGAAAACACAAGTATGTTTTACTCACTGCATCACCCTTGGCTCCAGGAGATCCCTGTGGGCCAGGAAGACCCCTATCACCCTTTTCACCCTGTTCTCCTGGAGGTCCAATCAGGCCAATCAAACCAGGATGTCCCTAAACAAGACAGAAGAAAATATAGTTAAAACTCAATATATATATAAAGTAAATGTGCTTTGCAAACACAAAGAGGAAGAAGAGGGCCACGAAAATTATCAGAGGGATGGAACACCTCTCCTATGAAGAAAGGCTGAGAGAGTTGGGGTTGTTCAGCCTAGAGAAGAGAAGGCT